AGTTATTGAAAAGAAGTTTGAGGCCGGGGACCTCACAATTCGACCCGGAGTTATCCTGGGAGCATTACCCAGTTTAGCTTACAAGCCTTTGCTCGTCTCGGAGCCTCTTGTTGCCTATCCATCTCGATAGCCATCTTATGCTCCCTTTTTCTAGCCTTGTATGGCCCTCACAGCTGTTACAGCTGCCCAGTTGTCCGAGCGTCTTAGAGCCGTGAGGCTAATCCCAATTAACCTTCTATTTCGTATCGTATCCTGTAGCATGGGTAACTGTGGCTACCCTCAGTCCGGTTCCTATTCCACCGGCAAGTCAGAATACAACAAGAACCCCTCATGCTTCCTTCCGCTTGGCCGAAGGACCCCTGAGCAGCATTGATTGCTCCAGATGCCTGGATGATTGATTGTCGGCTTGCCTTCCCTCTACCTTTCCTCTCAGGTTTGTTTTCCCAAACCTGCCAAATTTAACCTGATACGAAGAAAGGACAAAGAGATATGGCAGCCTCACTCCCGTGAAACTTGGCGTGGATGTCCTTCTGGGACTCTAGTCTTGTAACAGTTTGACTGTTCCTTTGTCGATCTCCTCGTCTCTGCCACACCGCTGAATCTATGTGGCCTGTATTGGGTGCTCAAGTCTTCTGTTTGGGACCTCTGCCTTCTAAGTCCCCTTCTGAATTGTGCCAGTCTTGCCACCGTATGCAACCAGCATTTATTTCCGCTACCTTCCCTCCCTCCAGTCATACCCTCGCAGATTTAACTTTAATTTTCTGCTGCAGCTCCAGATCGTCCGGCATAGAATGCTTTGTTTTCTGCCATCGGCATAGAATCTCAGTCTGAATCAGCGACCTTGTAGGCCGCCCAAGTGCTCTCTTGAATTGGGGAGAGTCCTTCAAGAGTTCTGCAGCACCTTTCCTTCCATATAGACCAAAGTGTCACCTTTATGATCGTATCTGAAAGTACGCGGGGATGTTAGTCCATACGAGTTGGATGAGGTGTTCGGGAAAAGGGGTAGGGAAAATGGATTCCCACAGGTCGGATGCCCTATCCCAGTAATCGGTCACCTCTCTACAATGTATTAAGCAGTGTATCATGTCCTCTGATTCGTTGTCCGACCATACCGCACATAAATCCGAACTGCTAGGATCGGTCCTCCTCCTGGTATGCAACCATTGGTCGACTGGTAGAGCCACGCAGGAGATGTGCCATTGAAGGCTCCTAATTTTGACAGGCGGAATTGTTTTGAAAAATTTTGGTGGTATTCAGGATATTTGATCAGCATCCTGATCGATAAACCTTGACCATCCAGTCTTAATTACGGGATCAGGATCCGTAGTCTTGAGCAGTAAGTTGTATCTCAGTATGGCTGTGTACTCATGAATCTGGATAGCCGCTCTGATATTCTTGCTTCTTCGTGGTGTCCAGGCCCATTCTGCCGGATTGAATTCCAAGTCTTGAATAGCAGTGTCTATTTTGAAGATTGTTTTGCCACGTCCCCAGCACACTTTTCTGGGCACGAATGGATTTAAACCGCTAGTACACGGCCTCAGCCTTGCAGAAAGTTTTTGTCGCCACAAGCAAAACTCGGAAACGCCGCGCGGCCAGGCCTGCCATTGAAAAAAATAAATCGGCGGCTTCCGAGGTGGTGCGCAGGTTTCGTGCTGACACCCGCGGGCCGATATGTGGTGTACTGGTGCTTTAAGGCTGTTAGTTCTACATCTTGGTTTAGAATGGAGGAGGGACCATAATTGGAAAAGAGGTGAATCCAGCCAAGGTGTCTGATCCCTGTTGCTTATGGGGGAATTGGAAAGCCCTTGTTGGTACTGTTTCCTGAACCAGCACTCCCCTTTCCCCTGGTTTCCAGGGAAGGACTTCTGGCAAACAAATCCTTCCAACCTTGTGGGATGCATTTTGATGATAGTTTGTAGGTTCTCATCTCTCCGGTGGCATCCCTTCAGGCGAGTACCAAGCTCTTGTCCTGAAAGCCAGTCCTTTTTTTCCTCGTCCAAAATATGCCTCACTTTCCAGACTCTGTGATTGATCCATGATGTCCATCTTCTTCCTCGTGGCTTTAGAGAGAGTGGGTGGTCACTTTCGTCTCTCACCCAGGGATTCCCAAAGAGGGGTTGTCTCAAGACTTCCTCTTTCGATCTGGGTCCGCCCACTTTCTTTGGCATGATTTCCCACTATATTCGCAGCAAGGTAGGGTGTACCGATATTGACCTCCTGTAGTCTATGGATTGAAGGGTCTCTGCATAGGAATGAGGCTATACGGGTCCCCCTGTCGGATTGAACGTGAGATCCTCCTATCGAATCGAACGTGAGATCAGATAGCAATTAGAAAAATCAGAGGAGCTAACAGGTCCCCCTGGCGGATTGCACGTGAGATCGGATAGCAATTTGAAAGCAACCCATTGAGCTGAACACAGCCTAACGCATCGTTGTACGGGATTCCTACCAACCCCCACGTTTTCCATACGTGCGTTGAGAAAGGCCCAGTTGACCTGATCGTAGGCCTTCTCGAAGTCGAAGAAAACGATTGCTGTATTTATCCTGTTTTCTCTGACTCTTTTGGCTGCTTCATTGAGAGTTAGTAGTACTTAGTACCAATTCACAGATTCTTTGTTTCCCAAGTTTTGCAAGTTTCCTTTAATTTCAAGCAACAGTTACAGAGCTCCCTGGCAACGTTTTATCCTCAATATACGCTTATGGTGAACTGATCGTTCAATGAATGTTTTTGGGCGCGCATCACTCGTCCTTACAACAATGTTCCAGGTTTTGCACATTTTGTGAAGGTGCAAGTAGTATTGCGGGAAAGGCTTTGAAGTTTGTTTCCCTTGCTCTTCATTAGAGCTCATGTTCACTTAATAAACCAGTCCAGTCCATCTGTTCTTCTTTGTACTGTTGTCTCTAGTTAGGCTTGGTGTTTGCTACGAGAAAGGAGAGAGCTTGGAACAAGACAAAGTACTTGCAGCGGAGTGGTATTGGCGAGCAGCGGAACAGGGACATGCTGCAGCCCAAAGCTCTTTGGGTGAGCACTCCCCTATTCCCACCCAATCCTTTCGGTCCATCTGTCTCTGTGTGCCGGTTCGTACTTGGATGTGTGCGTTCGTCCGTGTGTCTACCTGTCTGCTTGTCTGTCTCTCTTTCTCTCCATTTCTCTTGCTCTCTCTCCCTCTGTTCCTATGCTTCTCTAGCCCTCGCTCCCGCTCTCCCTCTCTCCTCTTTCCTGGCTCCCTCTCCCTCTCTCTCTCTCTCTCTCTCTCTCTCTGTATGTCTGGATAGTAAAATGCGGCATTCCTGGTTCTTCGGGGATTCACGCAGGGTCGGTCTGGCAGACCTTTTTACCTGGCAGCGCCAGCCTAAACGAAAACAAAACCGCACCGCCCTGGGACGTTCATATTGGTGCGCAGTACTTATCTGCCTCGACAAAAAGAGGCTGGGAGGTACTGGTGGTTTAATTAGTTTCCAACCCTCCTCAACCCCCCAGATTTGGGCTGTGCATGGTAAGTGGAATACACATTCAAAACTCTCGGCCGCTGGCCCTCTGCCGATCGGTTGGCAGTCGATCAGCCATTTGCTGGTTTGCTACCCTGAACAAAAAAGTATCTGTTAAAAAAAACTGGAAACCGGGGAACCCTGAACAAAAGAGTATGTGTTATAAAAAACTGGAAACCGGGGAACCCTGAACAAAAGAGTATCTGTTAAAAAAAACTGGAAACCGGGGAACCCTGAACAAAAGAGTATCTGTTAAAAAAAACTGGAAACTGGGTCCAGTGTCCCTTAAATTGACTCGTTCACTTCTCTCTGTGATGGTGGACAGACCCTGAGAAGGCGGCATTGCTTGATTCCTCAACAGAGAGGATTTATCTCTGGTCCGCCCCTGTTTTCCTACATGTCGTCTCTCTTGTCTACTCTGGATTTCGGTTTCCCTGCATCCCCATCTCAGCCGTTTCTAGGTCCCTGGAGTTCCTTGAATCAATCAATTAATTGCAGCTGTCAGACTTACGTCGGAGTCTTCTCTTTACTGCTTCCACCGGTCTGCCTTGTAACAGCCCTAGATTGGGTTTCTCTTTCTGATTGTTCTTTTTGTGTGCACTGCTTGTCCCTTGGTGAGACTAGACAGGTGCCACTTTCAGCACTGTTTGAGAAGAGCTAGTGAGAACTCGCTCTGCACTGGACAGTTTCTTGAACCGACTGTTGCATGTTGCTCAGGAAGGCAGGACCTTCAGTTCTTAGTCACCTTTTTCTGGTTTCGTCAACTATTTTGGATGTCACCGCTCAACTCCGATTTTCTATGGAGTTGCAATCAAGTGTAATCTCATCTCAATCAAGTGTGTAAGTGAGATCCCTACACTTGTAGAAATCGGTAACATGAGAATTGGGCGATCCAGGCCGCCCGCTGTCCTACCGGCCCGACGGTCCGGATTTTCGTGCGATCTTAAAGAATGCGCGACGATCCGGGCGGCCTGGATCCGAGCCATTGGCCCAGTAGGACCCGGGCGGCCTGGATCGTCACGCCCGTTGAAAAGACGGCCTGCCGTTAAAGAACCGCCCCGGCACCTGCTGGCCATTGGCCCGTTGCAGGGCGGCGCTAAAGCCCTACTGCCCGCCCTCGCTGGAGTCCAACGGCCCATTAGGTTGAGGGCTGGCCGTACACCTGCTTCACGGAACCGACAAACTCCCTGTGGGACCTATCGAATGCGACAAACTACTCTATGTGACAAACTCTACGCTCCGCTCACCTCCGCTCTGTCGTGTTGTTACTCACTGTCAAAGATGCCCTCTCTCTCTCTCTCTCTCTTTCTCTCTCCCTCCCTCCCTCCCTCCCTCCAAGGAATCGTCTTTGCCGCACACAGAGAAGATAGCAGGCGGAGTGGGTGGAGGCTGAGGGGAGGTGGGCAGAGGCCGAGCGGAGGTGGGCGGAGGTAGCGGGCGGAGGCCGAGCGGAGGTCGTGGCCGGAGGCAGACAGGAGGTCGTCGAAGGCAGACAGGAGGTCGTTGGAGGCTGAGGGGAGGTGGGCACGCACTGTTTAAAAAAGAAAGAAAAAAGGGGGTGGGCAACGGGATGTGCAGCAGGATGGTGGGTGTGCGGGCAGCGGAGGGGAGGTGGCCGGAGGCGGAGGAGAAGTGGCGGAGGCGGAGAGGAGATGGCGGGAGGAGGTGGACGGGAGGTTGCAGAGGTGGAGAGGGGATGGAGGGAGTAGATGGCGGGAGGAGGCGGATGAAAGAGAGAGAGGAGATGGCGGGATCAGGCAGACGGGAGGTGGTGGCGGAGGCGGGGAGGAAAGAGGGAGAGGACATGTGCGGGCAGCGGAAGGGAGTTGGGCGGAGGCCAAGGAGAAGTGGCAGAGGCGGAGAGGAGATGGCGGGAGGAGGTGGCGGAGGTGGTGGAGGTGGAGAGGGGATGGCGGGAGTAGATGGCGGGAGAAGGTGGAGGAAAGAGCCAGAGGAGATGGTGGGAGGAGGCAGATGGGAGGTGGCGGAGGCGGAAGAGAAGTGGCAGAGGTGGGGAGGAAAGAGGGAGAGGAGATGGTGGGAGGAGGCGGACGGAAGGTAGGCGGAGGCGGAGGAGAAGTGGCGGAGCGGAGAGGAAAGAGAACGGAGATGGCGGGAGGAGGCGGACGGGAGGTGGGCGGAGGCCGAGGGGAGGTGGCTGCACACCGTTTTTTTTTTTTTTGAAAAGGCGGGCGGCAGGATGGTGGATGTGCGGGCACCGGAACGGAGGCCAGAGTGGAGGTGGGGGGAGGAGAAAGTGGCAGAGGCAGAGAGGAGATGGCGGGAGGAGGTGGACGGGAGGTGGCAGAGGTGGAAGAGGTGGAGAGGGGATGGCGGGAGTAGATGGCAGGAGGAGGTGGACGAAAGATAGAGAGGAGATGGTGGGAGGAGGCAGACGGGAGGTGGCGGTGGTGGAGGCGGGGAAGAAAGAGGGAGAGGAGATGGCCGGAGGAGGTGGACGGGAGGTAGGCGGAGGCGGAGGAGAAGTGGTGGAGTGGAGGAAAGAGAACGGAGATGACAGGAGGAGGCGGACGGGAGGTGGGCAAAGGCCGAGGGGAGATTCGCGATCCCAATGGCAGGAGGGAGGGAGGTGGAGGCCGAGGGGAGGTGGCCGCACACCGTTTTTTCTTTTTTTTTCCGAAAGGGCGGGCAGCGGGATGGCGGATGTGCAGGCAGCGGAACGGAGGCCAGAGCGGAGGTGGGCGGAGGCCCAGGGGAGAATGGTGATCCCAATGGAGAGAGGGAGGGGGGCAGAGGCGGACAGGAGGCCGGCGGAGGCTGAGGGGAGGTGGGTGGACACCGTTTTTTGTTTGTTTTTTTGTTTAAAGGCAGGCAGCCGGATGGTGGATGTGCGGGCAGCGGAACAGAGGCCAGAGTGGATGTGGGCGGAGGTGGTGAGGAGATGGTGGGAGGAGGCGGATGGGCGGTCGGGGAGGCGGAGAGGAGATGGCAGGAGGAGGCGGACGGGAGGTGGCGGAGGCAGAGGAGAAGTGGCGGAGGTGGGGAGGAAAGAGAGAGAGGAGATGGCGGGAGGAGACGGGGGGGGAGATCCGTTTTATCATTTCTTTCTCTCTCGCGCGCGTGTGTGTGGGGCGGGGGCTGTCTCTTATACACATCTAGATGTGTATAAGAGACAAGGTCAAGGCCGTAGCTGCTACAGTACCGAAAGG